TACATAATGAATTTGTTTTTTAGGGAAGTTCGTGGCCCTAACCTGACAGCGTGCGTCTTATATTACATCATTAAAAGCCGGTAGACAAGCGCTCCTGAATTACGCTCTCGCTAAGATAGCACAACAGGTGATGCGTGGAGCACGTCGTCTGCTGCTAACAAACTGACCACGGTGCGTATACCATACCAGACACAAATAACCAGTCACGGCTGGCCACGACCAGTCTTCCAAGCATGCGCTTCAAGACCAGCTCTGAATGGTTATTTTCTTCGGCGATAGATGACGCTGAAAGCGAACGTGTTTTATATAGCTGTCGGTTGATGGCACTGTAGGCGGCTGCCGCAGAGCTCCGGCGACTGCTTCCGTGTTCCCTTTGATAAAGTACGACAGAGTACACACATCTACAGAAAATTCCTTCAACCATGTCACCAGTGTTCACCATGACTCAATATACGTTTGATAAAAAAGTCACAGCTTTGCCGCAAAGGCGAAGCAATGAATGCGATAGCAACAAATTAGAAGCTCACGCGCAAACTAGCAGGCAGATCGAAACGTGCCCCGCGTTTCTCACACACAAATTACGCACGAAACGTACTCACAGGTACACATGCACGCGAATAAGCGTCTCAGTTGTTACTTTGCTATGTCTGAAAAGCCCGCTTTTTTCGCAAACGGAGGCTGTGCAACGACTGTAGTGACCTTTGTACGCCCTGTAACTACAACAGAATCGTTCTAGTGTGAGCCCGATGCCAGCCAAGACGTATTATTCTCCCCACCGGGAGATAAGGGCGAGCGAAAGATCATTCACTACCCTCTTCTCCTCGGGCCAAAGTATGCGTGAGCGATGAGAGCCGCCGTGCGCTCATTGCGCCACCTTGCTGATAATGCTGAAAACACGATAGTCCCCCCCCCCTTGATGCCCACCAACAGCGGTAAGGGGTAGATATAAATAACAGGCCATTTTAACAATAAAAAAGATGATTCACCACGCAGGAATTAATGGTATCAAGTTGCAGTCATGTGAAGTGCTGTTTTGGCATCCACCGACGATATTGCTTTTTTTGCTGTTGATAGAGAGAGGGTCACTTCGTTATTGAAAATCACTGAAAAGTTTTGTGACGCGAGCGGAAGCTCAATGAACAAAGAAAAAAGCATCGAATTATGGCATGGTAATTGGGACCTCACGCCCAGTTTTTTGGAAATATTCAGTGGCTCACGACACCTAGTCGTTACCTAGGGGTACCATTGGACAGGTATCAAGGTAGTGAAGCGTTTTGGCTTGAAAAGGCTGAGGAGCTGCGCGCGACAACCGAAGGACGGGGTGGTCGTGGCTTATCAATTTTTTCTCGGTCAGCTGTATGTAACGTGTTTCTGGCTGCTAAAATTGTGTCTCTTTTACAACTACTTATTTATACGCGTAGAAGCGCTCATAAAATCCACAGGACATTCGCCACGTTCATATGTAGCTCTGCATGGGAACGAACATCCACAACGAAATTGTTTCGGTGTGTTAAGCAAGGAGGGCTATCTTTGTGTCACCTGTTTTTTTTATCAAGTAATATCACGTTTCCTGCTGTTAGGAGACCAGAGAGACGCTTTTTCATGTTCTTTGTTTCAAACAATGCTATCCTACCACATGCCTGACTTCTCTGTATCTTCAGACAGGGGAGAACGACACACTTTGCCACCGTTCTTGCGCGAAGTTGTGTTCTCATATCGTTCCTTGAGGGCAAGGTTTTCAATAGATTACGTAACTAAAGTGAAAAGAAAGTGCCTTATGAAAGACTGAATACAGAATGTTTTTCCTGTGCGCCTTTACCGTTCAAATTATGAAAACTCATATGGACGAGACACTCTAAAGCGAGTGAAAAACTTGGGAAGTAAAAACAGCGCACAAATATAGACAAGGACAGAGGAAGAGATGACACCGCGCTGAACTCGCAACTTAACTTTATTGGAAGATACACGCACATATATCAAGCATTCAATTTGGTAACGTGGAAAACCAAAGGCGTCTGTGCATCAAAGCAAACAAGTTACGAAACAATCCTAATCAAATTGAGCATCAACACAAGTGTAACAACCCAGCAAAAACAAGAAAACACACCTTTCTACTTGCACCGACGGCGCACCAGGTGCGCCATTGCCATCTTGAATCTGCCTCATCTGCAAGGGCCGTAATTGATGGGAAACTCGGCACTGGCGTCTGAAATTGAGGCATCTAATGAATGCCATATGCGAACCTACGCCTTTCTCGTGTAATTTCGCCGATGCTGCATCGGTACTCGTTGGTAAAATGGTTTCCTTCCAACCAATCGTTCACTCACGCCTGCGGAACACGACTGATGTCCAGAACTTACCCGCTTTAATCGTCTACATCTGCCACTTCGACTTGCCATTTGATCCGCACTATCCCAATCTAAAACCACAGTATTCTGCCACCTGTGGCTTGGTGCGTCATTCAATAACAGCTTTGCTTCGGAATAGCAGACATGAGCCTGTGATCGCAACGGAGGCAGGAAAAGCTCTGCACACTTCCTCTGTCAATGTCCTCGCTACAGCTGCCAGAGACGACAGCACTCAGCTACGTTAGTACGCATCAATGAACAACTCTAGCACATGTCTGACAATGTGGCTCATGAAGAGACCTTACTTTAATTCTGCGAATCATCTCTTTATTCAATATGATGAGTCCAGCCAACAGGTCAGAGAAGATTATGGTTGAGCGCGACTTTTGAGAACGTTGAAGTGAGGAGCGCTCTCGCTGTTGTTTTATTTTTCATTTTGGTATTTGAGATGCTTAGCGAAAAACCCAGGTTCAGTCCAATTTCACCTATCAATACAATCTGTGTCAGTGTACAACAAAGCACCCGCAATAACATCGGAAAAATTTATTCATTACAACCAGATTTTGACTTTTTGAATAATATTATTCAACTTTATCCATTGCGATCTTCCACTGCATGTTTGCTAATACCGCGCGGAATGCTCATTGTTTCATCATAGTTCATTAGTTCATACGTGGACGCTGTATGCAAGAGATATACGCTGTGTCGAATGTTATGTCTGACAGGGAGTAATGTCAGTTTACTTGAATATTGTGACTTGTGAGCGTTCCGCATGTTCTAGATACGTCATCAACATTTTCTTTGACATCGGTACTGTGACATAACTGAATTGCGATGTGCCATTTAAAGAGTGTAAAACGTAAAGCTTTATCGTGACTTGTTGTTTTGTTTTCCCGAATATTCGCATTCTACATTGAATTGAATAGACGAGTTAAGTTGCAACAAGATTGCGAGGATGACCAGGCAACAAAATAAGTATAGGGCAGCTTGAGAGGAACCTGGTCATCTCATGAATCGGGCAGCTTCACAGCTATCAAAAAGAAGTGCACCTCACACATAATGCGTAAACTAACAAAAGTGAACAATTCGGATTGATATCCACGTAGTCTGCTGGTGATCCACCCCACGGATTGAAACAATTCGGATTGAAACACGTAGTCTGCTGGTGATCCACCCCACGAGTTTGCCCGCTCTCAGGTACGCTCGCTCGTTCGCCGCCCCTCCACATGCGAGAAGTAATACCAGGCCAGAAGGAAAGACGAGCCGACAAAGGAAGGAAAGAGCGAAATGAGCGAGAGCGTCTTCAGTATCATCCAGCATGCGTAGTTCCACTATTACGGCACCATTTCCAGAAATTCACCAGGCTACGTGTTCGTTGTAAAATCTTGCACAACAAAGACACCTCAAATTTTGACCTTTGGAATTTAGGGGTCGTCTATTAAATACAATAAGCCTTGAGATGGCCATGGTTGCAATGTACGGACGCAATCATAGGTGTGCTCATGGTTACTCTTCAGGGGTGGTGGTGGGGGCGAAAGTTTGTCGCAGCGCGTCCCCCATATTATGTCAATATAGAGAGGGCTGACTTTGCGCCCGCTTCATAGCCGACTAGAGAGGCGGCCGCCACATCCCCCCTCATCCACTCGCCTATAGACACAATAGCTCGAAAAACCACCAGCTAACCATTCAATAGTGGGCACATACCAGAAGAATCTGCTTTCCAGGGTCTACCTCTATGTAATCGTACCTAAGCGACGAATGTGCCTTTGCCGTTCGTAAGGACAACACACCTGTATAGAAGCGGCTGTATAGCCTGTATTGGTCCTGTTTCTATAGTGGTATACAAACGTTCCTGCACTGTGCCTGTCACTTGCAATATTGGCTGGCTGCGACTGCCTGCGTGTGCTCCCTTTTCCTTACTCTTTCTCACTGCCATATCATCTCTCAGCCTCCATTTTATACTGTAATTCATACCTGCGCTCTGAAAAAAATGAAACAAGACAGTACGCGTGACTTCTTTTGCGAACTCCTGACTCACTATGTACATGAATCTCTTGTGGGCCATACGAATCTCAGAAGAGAGTATAAGAACACCCCAAAAAGTGTTTACGTAACCTTTAAAGAGAGTAATATAAGTGTCAAGTGACGACTCTCTAAAAGGAGTCGAATGATTTTTTTTTTCTAGAGTGTGCATTAGATTTCTGGTTATGTTCCTGCTTAAGCTCTCAGACTTCTGGTTATGAGCTCCCCGCCTTTGGCCTCTTCTTTATTCACGGAGTAAACATATGACTTTTCCAAAAACACACTTTAAGAATTTCCCAATTAGGGTAAGCAAAAGGTGCAAATGCACACAGGGCTCTGCTTGCTTTCGCAGTTTTCACCTGACACCACGCTTTTTCTTTTCTCTTGACCATAGACGATTCACACCAACACGCCATTCAGACTGATGGGCTGTCACTTACTGCGTGTTTGTGTGCGTGTTTTCTGATGTGCTTTCTTTCTCCTTCTCCGTGTTTCAATCTCTCCCATCCCGTTAGCACGTGTAAGGTAGCAAAGTGAATATCCTGAACTGGTTAACCTGCCGATACATTTTCTTCTGTATTATTTCTTTTTTCTGTTCACACTCCTAACGTTCTGCGTTTTCTCCAACAGCCAGGCAAATCGGAAAATGCAATGATGAAATGCAAAAGCTGTGTGCTGAAGAGGGCATGCAATGCGAAGTTATCAACGGTACCTCGGTTTGCGTAGGTAAGAAGAATGAAATTTATTGCGATAGCAATTGTAGTGACACTCTTTGCAGGTTTGCGCCGCTTTTTGCATGTATTGAGATGTACACATATATGAAACCCACAAGAAAAAATAGTCAACAAGAAATGATTTTTTTTTCGAAAATGCGCTCCCGCGGATTTGAAGCTGCAACCCCTGGCTGTGCAGTGCGACGTGCTAAACAACTCCTCCACGCAGCCTACATCTTCCATCGTACTAACGACGACCAACATATATCCACCCTTTGCTGCTAACGTCACGCAAAGCTCTGAGGTGTTTTAGCGTGACAGATAATTTTTCACTGTCGCCCGCGGGATGGCGTCAAAGCACAGTTTCAAGGTCTATGCTTCACTCTCCTTTCACCGAAATTGGGACGCAGACTTGCACCCTGAACTTGAACCTACAGGGTGTGGTCACCTGTGCTTTAGCGATCGTCTCTCGAGAAGTTAGGTTTGGGCTTAATCAAATATTATATCCTGCAACTTGATTCATACCTTTAACAACTTTTCTCTTACGTTATTGACACAGATCGGTCTGTTAAAAAATGCGACGTCTCGATGGAGCAGAAGTGCAAGAAAATAGGCAAGAAGTGTGACGACAGAAACAACTTCGTCGTATGCGAAGGTAGGTTATCAGCATCGTCGCCATCAGTACTTATTTGGAAACCATAACAAAATAAATTCTACCTATGCAGATCAACATCTTGCCTAACAAATCACAGCACATCTGAATGATGATGAGTGGGGCAAAGCGCCGGAGGGTTTCATTGCTAAACCGTGAACCATCCGCAAATATCACCCACTACATCATCAAAGACCAGAAAAACGCTGTATATTATTATACAAGGAATTTTATTATTCGGAAGTGCCAGCTAGCTATACCTCGCTTCCATTTTCCCATTATTATAACGGCTTATGGTCGCTGAAGTGGTGGATCGATGATGGGGCGTAGTGAGATGTTTGCAAGGACAAAGTAGTGGGCAGTTTGCAAAAATAAAACTAGAGGCGGTCATGTACAAGAAAGAGATGGACACAGTGAGACAATCTACGGTTATCTAACGTGAACCTGCACACAAGTACACGACCACCTTGCATTTGATATTCACTATTTTTCAACAGTATTTGCTTAATGGTTGGTGAAGTGGTGGATCGGCGATAAGGCATAGAGGTATATTTGGAAGGACGAAATAATGGGCAGTTGGCAAAGGTGGAACTATAGGCAGTCGAGTATATACATACAAGAGATGGAAAGACGCATGCCTTTGGAAGCTTTGCCCATAAAACAAGAACCTTGAGTGAGTTGGAAAAAAACCAGTGTACCATGGGTCGGACGCGACTGGTACCAAAAGCCTGTGGGCTGATCGAGGAGGTTGCGCAACACTTGTAAATGTTAAGAAAGGTTAATGCGAAGAAAGCTGTGTAATAATAACGGTATTTAAAGAGGTTATAAGGGATAATTAGTGCAACGGGAGCATCGCAATAAAATGAAGAGAATGGAAGGTAATCAAAGGCGAAAGAATGAAGACGAACATGTGAATTCAACCTAATTTGAGGTCAGTTAACTGTAAGTAAAGTGATAAAAGTGTTCAGAGCCCGCAACTAAATCGAATGTGAATTAAAAGTAAATGAAATACTAACGTCGAATCACCACTGCGAGTTACAAGAGTGCCGAAGAAATGCTAGCTGACCCAATTAAGAAACTACAAAAAGTCGCAATACTCTCGGCTGGCATCGTCAAAGTAACTCAATCGATGCCTTCTTATGGTGAAAGCTTTCTCCTTTGACGTTGTTAAAGTCAGCAAAGGGCTGCGTAAAATTTTGATCTGTAGCTCGTAGAGACATAAATATTGTTGCTTGATGAACTTGTAGCGATACAGAGGTGGTGGAGCAAAAAAAGGCATTTGCCATTTCTAACGCTATAGACAGAACTGCAAATGAATTTAGCGGCTGTTCGCAAATTGGATGAACAAGGTTAAGCGAAATGATTAAGAATGTAATACACTTATTTGTAAGGCAAAGCTACGCAAGAACCCGTACATAATTTTGACAGATAAATCACGTCAGTTTAAAAGCACCACACAGGTCCGCATTTTCGGCCCCTGGAAAACTTTCTCTTCGAGAAATACTTTTGCAAATTACTTTGTAACTCAACTCTGCAAACATATCGCTTTGAGTGCAAGTGGCATCGCGCCCAAATAGCAATATGAACAACGCACAAAACAATATTAACGATGACTTATATTTTCCTTGATCTAACTTATAAAACATTATGGTCTAGCACAGAACTTATTTCACAATATTGATAAACGTTTCACTCAGGCTACATGGAAATCAGCACTTTAATGCTATCACGACAGTTCGCCCGCTTACACTCGAAACGATACTGATGTTGTGTGATCTTAACATGTTCAAACAGACCCGAGGCCTCCACCGTGTCCTGAGGAAGCGAAAAAAAGGTGCGCTGATGTTCATCTCAACTGTGTAGAGATCCATCATAGCCCCAAATGCATCGGTAAGCTATTTTCTTGTATTGACCTTTCATCAAAAGAGGAGGGTGATGCCGCCTAAGTTAGTTCAGATCAATATTATGTCTAACAAAAAAAATGGCCCCATACATGCATATTACACAGCACATGTCGTGGAAACACGATAGTATTAGTCCGGAGAGAGTGAACAAAACGTTTATTTGATGTACTGCACAAGAAAATCGGTGATTGGTATTCGGGAGGCACTGCGTTAGAGTGCCTCGATCGTGCAGCGGCGGCGAACGAGCGCATCAAGGCGCGTCACACGTGAGACATGGGCGCTATCTGGAACTTGGAAAACGAAGCGCGTGGCGTGCGCGCCCATCTTGGAGGCCATAAGGTGTAGAACACAAGGTGACGGGTAGGTGCCACCGCCGTGCCATATTAGCAAAGCGTTGGAAACACCTGCCTTTTTGTGCAAGCGTTGCATCGGCAGCGCAGCGTGATAAGCGCTACGGTCTTTAAAATTACTTATGTATGCCTTTTGTAGTAAAAAGACACACAAACAGAATATTGACGTGTTCTTATGCTGCATTAAGTATGCGCAATAATTGCTTTTAATTGACACTCGCACAAGTATGAAAGCTGAAACTAGAGCGAAATTGGTGGACTCTGCGGATGGGGTTGGCAGTTTTGGGTATCATTTAGTGCCTTTAAGGTATCGTTAAGGGTATACGAACACACAAATGTACAGATAGAAGAACAGACGAAAATTTTTGCGTCTTTAAAACAGAGCCCTTAAACTTAATCTAAATATTGTTGCTCATCCCTGCGACTTCTTTATTAGATAACAAGATATTTTTTTTCCCAAAAAGCCAGTTCGAGCTTTACCAAGCACACGTGTTGCCTCCTAAATGACTATCAGAGTCCTTTCAAAGCACAGTGCATCGTCTTATATACAATATTCAGAGTATTTATTATCTTGAAATAGATATCGCGCTTCAGTTTCATAAAAGGCGGTTGAATCGGCATGGAAATGATGCTAACGAGTTACGCTACGGGCACGATTACTTTGCATTTCATCCCAGAATATCTCTAGTGTCCAGGGCCGCTGGCCAAACTTTTTCCTGTAGAGAAATAGCAGCACCTTTATCCGAGATGGAAGCCGGGCAGATGTGGTCAAGTGTCATTGTGTGCTCTACATGCCATGGCAAAAAGAAAAAAAATACAATCGAGGGAAGGGAGGTGGCAGTGGTGTGGTACCTACTGGCTACGCCGCTGCTAGAGTCCGTCTGAAGCATTCTCATACTAATGTCAAATAAGATCCCGAGTGAACACTTCTTCGAGAATTTGTCGCGTGTGAACGCAGCTCCAACACTTAGCGGCACGAAAGTCAACTGCCCTCTGCAGACAAGCGTGCAACTCGCCAGCTCGGACCCAGAAGCTCAGCTCGTGCTCCTCGGTCGAGTCCGGCCTGGACGTAGCGACCCAATCATAGAAGCTCCGATACCCTCCTTTCTTTTTTTCCCCTTCAATATAGATTCACTCTCTCTAACCTGTAGCTGTCGTGGAAACCAGAAATGGCGGACATGACCTTTATGTCGTTTCCGCTTTCTCTTCATGACAGATCCTACAGCCAAGAAGTGCAACGAGAAGATCGAAGATAAGTGCAAGAAATTAGGCCAGCAGTGCGAGGACGAGGACGGCTTCGTAGGCTGCAACAGTAAGGAACTACCTACGCCAATATTTGTTTCTTAGCCACATTCCTTCAGGTTGACTTTCACACATCTTTTTCATGGAAGGAACATAACGAAATCAGCCGCCGCGGTATCCACTGTGACGAATCATCGATGAAAAAAAAAACTCTGCCATAACCTACAACCTTGAAATTGCCACTTGATCTGAATCACATATTTGCTGCTCTATTGTCAGGTAATCGAGATAAGCGAAATTGTGCACGTATGCACGTATATATGAGACATTCACTCATGAGACATTCTTTTTCTAACAGTGCCGATGACTGCGCTTCCGCATAAACAGCTTGTCCTTGAAATAGGTTCACACAAAATCTCTTCTGGCCATTGCTCAAATAATTCGTGAGCGCATAGCTTTACCACAGGAAGGCACATAAATATGGTGCTACCAGCAACTTTGTTTTCGCGTGACACAGACACGGCGTCTACTATGAGATGGGAAGCAGCTTACGGTCGGGTCTTGTACCTTGTTCGTCGTCATAGCCGCTCTAGTACTCGGGGCGCCCACTTGATGGCTCTGCACCCATAGCGCTAAGGCGCTATAGGTGCTTAGATGAAATACAAGCATACCCCGACTGATGTTCTCAGAAGCTGCAAGCCCTGTCTACACATGTCAGCCAGCTTTTCAAGGAGACTGCTGCGCCGATTTTCCAACCAGCTGAGCGGTTACTAAACGGCTATAGTACTCGGAATGCGCCGCAGTGACGTCCTCAGCTTTTACCCGCAGTTTGCCTAATTTTCCACTGTTTACGACAAAGCAAAATACTCAGTATCTCTCTGAAATGAGGTCTGTGCGCTGATTTTTCAGAAAATTTCAGAATATTTCAGAATATTTCAGAAAATTTCAGAATATTTCTTTTCTCTCTTGACACTCCTAACGTTCTGCGTTTTCTCCAACAGCCAGGCAAATCGGAAAATGCAATGATGAAATGCAAAAGCTGTGTGCTGAAGAGGGCATGCAATGCGAAGTTATCAACGGTACCTCGGTTTGCGTAGGTAAGAAGA